CCATCCTCCTAGCAGACATCAGAGAGACCTACCTACACTGACACTTTTCAGACTTCAAGGTGCGTGTGACTATCCTGGGGATCAAGTTGAAGTGCAGGTTTTCTGAGATTCTGCACGTCTACTAAGTTCCCAGGGGAGACCAAGACCGCTGGTCAGTTGAAAAGCAAGGATTTAAAGCCCAGCAAAGGGTTAAAAGTGTGTGTTCCAGAGTGCCAGCAGTGTGACTTTCAGCAAGTCCCTCAGTCTCGCTCTGTTGTGTCCTTCCGTGTCAAGTGTGGCTGTGGTGAAGATTCCAGGGCTCCGTAGACGAAGCGTGCCCAGGCCACTGCCTGGCTCAGGGCGTGTGCTCCAGAGTCTGTGCGAACTGTTCTCGCCCTCCACTGTCGCAATCCTGTGGTACACTCACTGCCTGCGTGATAAGATCACCCTCACGCCCTGCCCTCCTCCACACCTTTGCTTTTCCCTAGGTCTTGAATGCCCTTTTCTCCCCCTCCACCTGGCAAAGTCCTCTTCATTCTTCGGGGCTCCGAGACCCCAGAGCCCACCTCCCAGGGGATTGTTTAGATGTCTAAGTAGCACCTCTGCCCTGAGCTCCAGGAGAGCAGGACGTTTTTGCCCTTTGGTTTCCCAACTTGTACATCACCTGACACACAGGTTTCAACAGATGAAGAGTGAATGACACGACAAATACTTCAGGTCCTTCTATAACTGCTGTGCCTGGGCCCCACTCTAGATCTATTGAGGCAGCGTTTTAGCAGGTGAATCTCTGGCATGGGGTATATGTGTGTGTGTGTGTGTGTGTGTGTATATATATATACACATATATATATGTATATATATATAAATATATACACACATATATTAGCAAGAACCTCCTCTGATTATTTACTTGTTTAGCTAATTATACAAATGAGTATGGACTAGGGGCAGCTTTTTTATTCATTTATTCAGTGGCTTATAATCCATTACTATCACTATTTATTGCGATGTTCAAATTGTCCCAGATTCAGCTTTCAGTCTGGTCCCTGTGTCCTTTTGACATGTTCCCATCACTCTTTAATTCCTTGATTTTTTAATTTAATTTTCTTTAACGTTTTATTTAGTTTTGAGACAGAGACAGAGAATGAGTGGGGGAGGAGCAGAAAGAGAGGGAAACACAGAATCCGAAGCAGGCTCCAGGCTCTGAGCTATCAGGACAGAGCCTGACGCGGGGCTTGAACCCACGAACCATGAGACCATGACCTGAGCCTAAGTTGGTCATTTAACTGACTGAATCATCCAGGTGCCTCCCTTGCTTTCTTGAGCAACAAGATGTTCCAGAGTCATCTTGTGGTGTATTTCCTGCAAAGCACATCAGGTGATCCTGATGCACACCTGGGTTTGGAAGCCATCATGCCCATCACCAGCCTCCCATCACCATCAGGGTTAGTTCTATTCCAGAGCCAGAATCTGTAGCAGGGGAAGATTCTTAAGCAGGAGCTGGTGAAGGGATCACAGTGTCCCTAAGACTCCCATGAAGCATCCCTGAGGATCTCACCATACAGGCACAGATGACTCAGGCAAACTACCTGGCAAAGCTTCCCAGGTACCACTTGCCCAGCCAGTTACAAGTAGGCAAATGCCTAGAAGCATCCAAAGAAACAATTGAAGGAAACAGGAAGTAGGTGACACTGAGAAGGACTTTCTGAGTGGAATGTGCTTTCCAACAGGTAGAGAGAAGTCATCTTAACTTTGTCTGCATGGGGCAATAATGGTCATGAGGTCTGGGTCCTGTCTCTTGAGGAACCAGCCCCAAGAAGTTCCCAGGGATGGAAGAGACTGGAAACTCCCATCAAAGAACACTGTGTGGTTTTCCTCTGAAGGCAGCAGGGTATCACAAATGCCTTGCACTAAACAGCACTTTTTTTTCTCTCCAAAGAACACAAAGCACTTTCATAGATGGCTCATTTGTTTGCAAATAATTTTCAATGCAAAAAACATGTGTACAACCTGAACAGAGATGAAAACACTGTTTTCAAAAGGCTCACTTGGCACAAGAGCAGACACCCAGATCAATGGAACAGAATAGAGAACCCAGAAATGGACCCACAAACGTATGGCCAACTAATCTTTGACAAAGCAGGAAAGAATATCCAATGGAATAAAGACAGTCTCTTCAGCAAGTGGTGCTGGGAAAACTGGACAGCAACATTCAGAAGAATGCACCTGGATCACTTTCTTACACCATACATGAAAATAAACTCAAAATGGATGAATGTATCCACGGGATACAGGTGTGCTGTTTCGAAGGGACACATGCATCCCCATGTTTATAGCAGCACTATCAACAATAGCGAAAGTATGGAAAGAGCCCAAATGTCCATCGATGGGTAAATGGATAATGAAGGTGTGGTATATATATACAATGGAGTATTACTCAGCAATCAAAAAGAATGAAATCTTGCCATTTGAGACGACCTGGATGGAACTGGAGGGTATTATGCTAAGTGAAATTAGAGAAAGACAAAAATCTTATGACTTCACTCATATGAGGACTTTAAGAGACAAAACAGATGAACATAAGGGAAGGGAAACAAAACTAATATAAAAACAGGGAGGGGGCCAAAACAGAAGAGACTCATAAATATGGAGAACAAACTGAGGGTTGCTGGAATTGGGTTCTGGGTGGGGGGATGGGCTAAATGGGTAAGAGGCATTAAGGAATCTACTCCTGAAATCACTGTTGCACTATATGCTAACTAATTTGGATGTAAATTTTAAAAAATAAAAAATAAAACTAAAAAAAAAATACTAGGCTTACCCATTTCTGAAAAAAAAAAAAAGGCGTACTACCCTGTACTACCTTAGGTTTCTATAAGCCTAAAATTATTACAAAATAAGTTATTTTTTGAGATTCACCGTTTACAACACAACATCGTGGTAGAATAATGCTTTCACCCCCCATGGTTGTTCACATCCTAATTCCCTGAACCTGGGAATATGTTTGTTACCTTCCCTGGTAAGAGGGTCTTGGCAGATTCAAATAAGGGAATCATGGAGAGATGGAGAGATTATTTTGGATTATTTGTGTGGGCCCATTGTAATTATAAAGTCATTGCAAGGGTGAGGCAGAGGTGTAGTGATGGAAGCAGAGGGGTGTGGTGGAGAGAGAGAGAGAGAGAAATAGAGATTGAAACTTGAAGATACCACCCTGCTGGGTTTGAAGATGGGGGAAGGGACCACAAACCCGTCACTAGAACCTGGAAAAGGTAAGGAAAGACATTCTCCCCTTGAGCCTCCAGAAGGAATGCAGTCCTGCTGCTACCTTGACTTTAAACACCATCTCAGACCCGTGACTTCTAAAACTGTAAGATAATACATTTGTGTTGGTTAAGCCCCTGCATTTGTGGTAATTTGTTAGAGCAGGGATAGGAGACTAATACAAACATTAATTTCAAAATTCTTTTGCAACATTCTCCACATGGTTCTTCTATGAACCGGTTTGCTTTTCAGTCATATCCTATTCACGTTTCCACGTCACATTTAACTGTTCACATAAAAATGCAGCTGTAACGAAAAGTACTCTTTCTTTCCCCACCATTGATGCCCTACTGCCCATCTTTCTGCGGCTGCTACTGCTGTTCTGTACTAATAAGGCTCATTAGCTTGAGGTTACCCCCTTAACGTGAGCCTCATGCTCTAATACCACTTGAGTTTCATTAAGCATCTATTACTATCCTTTCCTTGAATGCAAATACAAATGGGCCTTCACTTGTGCAGATGCCATAAATATTCCCCAATGCAGACTGTCAGCTGTCTGCAGGACATTCCTCTCCGGATGGGGCACAGATCCCCTCCCCCACAGCAAGCCACTCTCTGCTGTAGGCAGATGGTCCTGGAAATGAAATTACTGGCATCCCAAAGTTGACCTGGAAAATAAATTATTCATTGTTCAAAATCTACTTCTCCCTTTCACTCGTGGCCATGCAGAAGCCCCAATGACAGTAGTTTGTCTGGAGCAGCTGGCAGCATATTGGCTCCAGAGCAATCCCCAGGTGAAGCCAACAAGTAGGCATTCCCTGCTCATGTCACCTGCATTCGCATGTCAACCACAGATGACCCTGTTTCCCATTTTCCCATCACAGCTCCGGAGACTGCCCTGCCCAGGTTGGAAACGGGCTTTCAAATTAGGCAAACCTGTATACGGAAGAGCCCTGATTAAGTTACACCCCTGTAGCCAGTCACATGCTACAGAATAAACTATTGAATGATTAACTTCAGTGAGAATGCACCAAGGACAAACAAATATAGGGTGTATCCCCCATATTTCCTTCCAAGCGTGTCACACTAATGGCTGGTGAAACCATAGCCAGATTGAGCTGTGGGAAATGCTTCAGTCCCTTCCAGTTGATGGTGTCTTCTGTCATTCTCTATTGATCTTCTGTACCACACACTTCCTGTCGCCCTCCAGTCTCTTCTGGATGGTTCACCCCTTCTGCTAGGGCTTCAAATATAATAATAAGGAAAGGGGTCTCTTTCTTTCTAGCTACAACTGCTCAAATTTCATGTTTCTAGGCCCTATGTTCAGGAGCCCTGCTGTCCTGGTTGCTCCGTGCTACTGCACAGGTCTGTGCAGATGTAGATGTTGAGATGTGGGCTCTGCGGGGTGGGCTGCCCAGAACCCCGGGATGGCTTCGTGCTCTGTGATGCTCGCCTGCCCTGACCACCCCATCTGTCTGAGTTGTACTGTGTCTCTGGGAAGAATTTTCTTGTCTTTAGACTTATGCTTCTTCTAGGCTGAGAACAACCTGAAAAAAAAGGCCCTTTGGAGAGGAAATAATCGATTTTGTATTTTGACTGCCTGTATTTTGACATCAAGCCTGCCCTGGTTGCAGCAATGTGCGATACCACTGCTTAATTGTTCCGTGCCCAGACCCAAAAGGACCACACAATGAGACTTTATAAAGTTTCGATTAAATAAACCACACTGATCTGCTTTTTTTTTTTTTGCCTTTGTTTAGGAAATCTACCTTAGGTTGAAGATCAACCTGAAAGCTCTCTGTTATCAAGAGAAGGCTTTTAATACAGGCAGTACTGAGGGAGGGGAAAACAAGGTATTCCAAAAGTGAAGAAGTCTGAGGGATTTTCAAGCAGGTAAGGTCTATTTGGGAAAGTCTTCCTTCCCATTTTGATTTATTCTAAAAAAAATTATTTTTAATGTTTATTTATTTTTGAGAGTGAGACAGAGTGAGAGTGAGGAAGGGGCAGAGAGAGAGGGAGACACAGAATCAGAAACAGGCTCCAGGCTCTGAGCTGTCAGCACAGAGCCCGACGTGAGGCTCGAACCCATGAACTGTGGGATCATGACCTGAGCTGAAGTCAGACACTTAACCGACTGAGCCACCCAGGTGCCCCCCATTTTGATTTATTCTAAAGGAATTAGTATGTCTTGGGGTAGACAGAGAGGGGGAAGGATTAGAAAGAATGTGGCTCATCTGGCTTGTGGTTGCTGAGCCTCCAGCTAGATCAGGCGGCTTGGGGTCACCATCATGGGCTGTTGGCTGTAAGCTCTCTCAGAGCAACTGCTGCCCTTACATGGAAGACTAATATCAGTGGCCAACTTTCCAGGGAACACAGAATTCCTGGGCCTTGTTCCACCCAGTCAGTAAGCCCACTCGATGTCAAACACAGTCAACGGTCCTGAGGGGGAGACTCTTGGGTTCATCAAAGGTGAATAGAAGTTTCTGGATGTACAATCCCAGCCACTCTCCTTCCTCCATGAGAAGGGAGCCCTGTCTGGTCTGGCTGATTGGACCCGGCCCAGCCCTGTAGCACTACCTCTCACCCAGCTTCCCTGGGGTGGCTCTGAGATGGTGAGAGGGACAGCAGAGGCCTGGAGCCGTATGTGCTATGGGACTGGACTTCAGTGTTTGAAAACACAGGTGGGCGTGGGGCACACAGAGCAGACTGTAGGTTTCTGTCCTGGTCCTAGCTTTTGTTCTGAGTGATGGTTTTTCAGTCCTTATTACGTTAAAAAGTAAAACCAAAAGCCCAAGGAAGTTCCAATAGGAGGTCAGACGTGGACCAAAACAAGAGAATGTCATGAACCAAGGATGGTGATTCATCCATAATCCAATTCTGTGTACCTGAGGGTCAGGAAATGGAATGCAGGAATAAATTACAGTAATGCGGTGTCTCAAGTGGCTGCAACAGGGCCTTTGTTGAGCTGGAGAAGGTGGGGGACACCGGCTGGAACACTTCCTCCCCTTTGGCTCCACCATGGCCTCCAGAAGGGAATGGACAGGGGTTTGAGCAAAGCGGAGCTGGCTTAGAGGCTAGTGGGAGGCTGTCAGGTCACCTGTAGGAGTCCAGAGATTCCTCTCCCGATACCCCCCGGAAAAGGGTGAGTCAGTGTCTGCCTGAGAGAAGCTGGACTCAGGCCCTTTGGAAGTTTGCCCAAGTTTGCAGGAGCCTGTCAGTGGGCAAGTGGTGCCTGTAAGACACGTTCCATACTTCTGGCTCTCTTGTCACAAGGCTTCCGATCCTGAAGCGCTCTAGGACGAGCACTGACGTGCATCTCACAGCCTCACATCAACCAAGAGCCAGGTTCATGGTGCCCAAGTTGTATACAATTTGGGGAGCCCTTGTAGAAAATGAACACAAATTTACCAACACAAAAATTAGGTACAAAAGCAGGTATTTATATAGAAGTGAGGGCTACTACCTATAGATTTACCTTCATTAGCTTCACAGTAAATTTGGCTCTGGGTATAGCTATCATCGCTCCCATTTAAAAGGTCATGAAATTGAGGCTCAGGTTGGGGTAGTGACTTGGCCAAGGTCAAACAGTGGGTGATAAGTGAACTGGAATCATAACCCAGATCAGTTCAGCGTGGCCCAAAGTGGTAGTAACATCCTGACCTGTGATGGTGGAGGTGACGGGGATGCCACTGTTATAGAAAGACTGGTTACCTAATTTGCATCATAAAATGATTTATGCCATCAGCCGATTAGGTTGTGTCTATCCAGGGCATGTTCTGTGCCAGGAGCTGTGTGGGGCCCTGGGAAGATGGCGGTAGTGGAGACGAACATAGGCCCTGTACTCCAGGAGGAGAATAGAGTGCTGATACCTGCCGTCAGATGCTGGTGCAGGAGATTGCAGAGCAAAATAGATCACTCTACCAGCTGCTCCCAGAAGACTCTGGGAAAGAGCCACACATCTTTAGGAAAATAACTCAATGAGCTTTTGGAAGTGGAAGGTGAGAGCTGTGGGCCTGAGTTGGGAGAAGGCCCCCAAGAGGTGGTGGGAGCCACTACTCCTGTAGGTGGAGGGGTAGAGGGAAGGGGAGAGGAAGATGGGCAGAAATGTCTGAAAGACAAAAAGCCCAACAAACCAGGCTGTCTATAGGTGGTTTCGTATTACTGTGTTTTTCTGCTGTAAATCTCCATATCCCCAAGGTATCAGTACCACTGGACCACCCAGGTGGCTTTGAGGGATGGCGAGTGTGTGTGTGTGTGTGTGTGTGTTTGTGTGTGTGTGTGCACACGTGTGGTGTGTGTCAAGCTGAGTTCCACATCTGGGTTAGATTTAATAACTAAGGAAAGCATAATGGAGTGGAAGCAGGAAAAATGATGCCTAGGGCTTCACTGAAACCCATTGGTAGTAGGCAGGGTGGGGATTTGGGATCATTCCTCAGGTCTTGGAGGCAGATGGGTCCCATAGGACATCTGTGTTGTAAGAAGAAAGCACCGCTATCGAGATCCCCTGGACCCCAGTCCCCATGGCTGTGCCATACGCGTTACCTCATTTAATCTCGCCCCCAGTCATAAGAGGGGGATGTCTGTTTCCCCCACTCTGCAAGTGAAGAACTCAAGGCTCAGATAAAGAACTCAAGGCTCAGATAGATTGAACAATTTGCCAAAAGCAGTAACTACCAAGAGCAGATCCATCTGATTCCACCCTCCCTAATTCCACATCCCCATCAGCCTGGCTGTGATATTCCTCCAACTTTGGTCCATTTCTAGACCCATGTACCCCAGGTTTCATAGGGAGTACTCACAGCACAGAGGCTGTGGATAAGTCCAAAGCAATTGGTTCCCCGCGGGGCAGTCGCCTCGTTCTGCTCCCTTCTATGCTCCCTTCTTCCTTCACTCCTGCCATGGTCCCTGTTAGGTTTCTCAGGGAAGCCAGTGGAATATTACTGACCCAGTCACTGGCTCCCACCTCTTAAGTGGGAACATTACTCCTTTCCATTGACCAGAGTGTCCCTGAATGTTGCCGAACATGTGGAAGCTGCTTTTAAGTGTGACCTCACCCATTAAGTAAAAATGCTAGGAGAAAATACATAGTATCTTTTTTTCCCTGCCTCTTCATAGAAATTGAGAGAAAAACATTTTAATGGAACTGTTTAAATAAGATGAGGTCTTTAAAACTTGCCTGTAGGTAAAGTACTGGGTCATGCCAACGAATTTTGATGTGTTGGCCATCTGACTGCCATCAAGACACAGCTGCTTGTTTTTCTTCTTGCTAAAGTGTTAAATAGCTGTTAAGTCAGATCTTAGGTGATAACAAGCATCCAATTATCACTAAAAATGGAGTCTGGTCCCAGGGACCTGCTGGTCCTTGGAGATTCAAGGACAACTCTATGTGCTGGTACGGCTGGGCCCACACATCTTGGAGAAACAAATAAAAAAGGTTATTTACTGAGTGCCTTTTATGTGCATCCGTAGTCTTGTCCTAGCTGCACAGCAAAGTGGACGCTGTAGTTATCCCCATTTTGCAGAAGAGGGAATTGATGTCCATGGTCACCAGCTGCAAGTTTCCCAGCCTCAGGAGCACCGTATCAGGGCACAGCCTGCCACAGCCTACCTCTAACATGGCCAGAAGGCCCAATCCAGCAAGAATGCAGCTATTAGAGGCCGTGTGAAGGCAACCCTGGCAATTAGTATTGGGCATTGTGCCTGCTGTTTAAGGCAAGGTTCCTTTACTGTTTAAAAAACTGGATAAAAAAAAATATATATATATATATATATATATATTTGGGTTCTTGTTCTGAGCAAGATGGAGTATGTGTACTCCAACATGCCTCTCCCACTGAATGCAACAAAAAAAATCCTAGACAGAATGTGCAGAGCAGCTGTCTGAGGACAATGAAAGGAATCAGGAGCAGGTGGATTGGAGAAGGAGATCAGAATCTGAAGTATCACCAAACCTGTGTTGAGTCTCCCATTTCCTCCCCTCTGGGACCATCTGCCTTCTCAACTCATAGGCAGTCTGAAAACTAGAAATGCACACCAGATGCAAACAGAATGTGCTGTTAAAGGAACCCTTGCTTTCTGGACCAGGAGTGGGAAAAGGGTCTCCTAAGGGTCAGAGGAAGTGGGGAAAAGCCCTGGTTGGCTCCTTTCATTCTCCTACCTGGACCGCCAGCTAACCTCAAAGCAGCGGTAGCAATGGTGACAACAGTGAGGAAGGTGCCTAAAGTTCTGAGAGAGGGAAATCTTCCTTCTGACCACTATGGTCTCAAAGAGGTAGGACACAATTCCATCCATTTTTTTTTCTCTCCTTGTCTTCCACTGCTTGGCCCCATACTCAGACACACTCTGGAGATTGCACAGTACATCAGGGAACTAATGCCCCAGCTCTCTTACCAGAGGGCCACAGGGGGCGAGAGTGTCAGAATGATTTCAGAAAGGACAGCTCTTAAGAGAGAGGCCCCATCTGAACTCCTAGGCTCGTGTCTAAGCTCTGTGTGCTTTGAGAACTCAACCGTGGATTAGAGCATCACCCAGGCACCCAGATGGCCACTGGGTGACTGAAAACAGATCTGCACAGTACTGCAAAGTCTTTGGAAACTGAACTGACATTAGAACCACAGTCCACAGGAGGCAGGTCAGGACTCGAGCCTACAGCTTGGCCAGATCCAGTTGCCTGCTAAAATAAAACAAAACTAAATCCAGCATTCTCTTCAGGATTTAAATGAGGCATAGATTCTCAGAACATAATATTCGAAATGCCTAGAATATAATCTGAAGCTACTCAGCATATGAGGAACAAGAAAAATTTCGACTGATAAGGGAATGGACAGTCAAGAGACGCCAACTCTAAGAGGACACACATGTTGAAATTATTAGATAAAGATGCTGAGGCAGCT